TACAGAGGACTAATGACAACAACCAGAAACAGCTGATCACATGGGGATCCCACACGAGGTTAACGAGGGGGCGTGGCACACGGACGGAGCGGACGATCGGGGCAGGACAAGGGTAATGTTGGGATAAGATCTTTATCGTTTTGGAAGCCATTAAGAAAAAAATGCTGGTCTTGTTTTACCCTGTTCATTTTGTGTTTAAATGCTTTAAAAAAAAAAACACACATATTAAGGTGTAATTTTGGGGACCGGGAACCAGTTAATTGATTTTCCATTATTTCGTATGGGAAAAAATCGATCAGAACTCGAATTTTTTAGGATTCGATCCGGAGTCCGGAACGGATTAAGTTCGAGAACCGAGGCACCACTGTAGTTTAAATGTCTTAGTATACTTAATAAACTAATAACAGACTTCCCCACACTCTTTTCAAGTGCTTTGGGCAATTGTGCTGTTGATAGTGCTATACTGTATACAAATAAATTGAACTGAATTCTACCTGTAAATAATTTAGTGTATAGATGTGCAAATCCAAGGGTTTCAAAGGAGGAGGGAGAACTCTACCTTTACTGTGCAGGTTTGGCTGTTGAGAAATAATTTCTTCTGCAGTGGAACTTCCTGTCAGACAAAACGCGGGTCTTCAGCCACAGTGAAGCAAAAACTGAGTGTATTCTCAGAAGCCGTGCTTCTGGTGATTGCCATTTAACCACATTGAGGTAAAGTTGTGCATTTGTGAATGAAGAATGACCCTACCTACGGTAAACACCATCAGTGGCTGTTCGGGGCCAGCCGCCCCTTCCCTGCTTGTAAGGACAGAGCTTCCTGTCAAAAGTAAGAGTATCTCGGTCATCCAGAGCCAACATCTGGGAGTAGCCTGGCACAAGGTTCAAGCCTTGCCCCCCCCCCCCCGGAAGGGAATCCTCTCTTGCCCATTTTGTGGTTTGATTTTAAGCATCTTCTTCCTTGAAGCTGTGGCGTTTCTCTCCGTATCTCACCTGTAACCGACACCCACGTCTCGGCACTTATCATCCCGGTGCCTTCTCCAGAACACCAGTAGAAACCCTCGTCCTCCTTGGTCACGCCCCACATTGTCATTCTGCCATCTCCACGAGTCTCAATCTCCATGCCATCCTTGTAAAAGGTAATATTCTTTGGGGAAAACCACCTATATCGACATTGCAGAGTAACATTCCCTCCATGCGATACAGACCGAGTTGGGCCCTGTATGATCACAGGACTTTCTGAACGACAAAAGACAAACAGACGCAGTGTCACATGTCTACTCCGTCATCCACATGTCAGTAATATGTAATACATCTTTATATTGTAGTAGATATTCAGCAGATCAAAATATGCAAGGCTGGTATGCTAGGAGGCTTGTAAGTGTGGCAAATAATATTTAATTCATTAGCTAGTCAAACCAAAGAAGGTATTTCAAAAACTCACTCAGTCCATTTTTTACGGTTTTTAAGATGAGAACTAAAGTCCGGCTTCCTCATCATAGAGCCAAAATCACTCAGTCCTCATGTAATCCAACCAAGAACATCAGTTACGTTTTTTTTTTTAAAAAGTGACATTTCTCCAAAAAATGTATCGCATGGACTGTGAAAGCTTTGGGAATTTTCTCTTGAATTATGCTGGAAAAATGCATCTACTTAAGCAGGGAACAGCCTGACTGAAAATGCAGTGAGTCACTGGCCACACACTAAGGGACTGTATGAATGGCACCAATCACCAGCCTCATACTGTCAGTGCTGAAATCAGGTCATTTTAGAGCTGGGCAGGTCAGCCATTGTTCAGCTATTATGATTAAGTAGCCAGTCTGGGTGGCTGACTCACCGTCCACCGTGATGTCAATGGCATTCGTCCGCTGGCCCTCAGACTCGCACCAATACAGGCCGGTATTGCAGCTATTGAGGCTTGTGAAGTTGTAGGTCTGACACCCCCGCTTACGCATGCTGTCCCCAGGATAGCCAGTCTCCACTATAGCCTGCTCATTCAGATGCTTCAGGGTCCACTCAGTGGTACTGCTGCAGCTGGACCTGCAGTGCAGAGAGAGTCCGTCACCTTGGAAGTGCCTCCTGCTGTCGGGGGTGATCGTCAGCGTGCCTGGGGGCAAGTCTGTGGGGGGGGGCAGAGAGGATGTGGGAGAAGAGGAAGGAATGGGGGGAGAAAAAGGGGGAAATATTGTAAATATATGTCCATTAGAAAAGTGCAAGCTTTCTGTTTGTCGGATGGATGGATGGATAATAAATGATAAACTCATAATAACATTTATGGGCAGGTATGTTCACACATACAGGATATTTGTCTGCACTGTTTAATGAATGTCATACATACAGTGGATACAGAAAGTACTCAGAACCCTTTCACGTTTATGCAAATTTTGTTATATTTCAGCATTATGCTAAAATTGTTTAAATTAATTTTTTACATCATCAATCTACACTCAATACTCCATGACAATACTCCATGGATTTTAGAAATCTTTGCAAATTTATTGAAATACAAAACTGAAACACCACAGTGAATTCTGTATTCAGACCCTTCGCTCTATACTTAGTTGAAGTATTTTTGGCAGCGATTACAGCCTTAAGTCTTCTTGGGTATGATGTGACAAGCCCTGCATACCTTCTTGGGTTTGATGTGACAAGCTCTGCACACCTTCTTGGGTATGATGTGACAAGCCCTGCATACCTTCTTGGGTTTGATGTGACAAGCCCTGCATACCTTCTTGGGTATGATGTGGCAAGCCCTGCATACTGTACCTTCTTGGGTATGATGTGACAAGCTCTGCACACCTTCTTGGGTCTGTTTTGTTTACAAAGGGTCTGAATACTTATTTGAATGTGATGTCTACATTTTTATTTTTTAATAAAATTGCATATATATATATATATATATATATATATATATATATATATATATATATACACACACACAAAATAACAATACAGTAAAATAAAACATTTGGGGCATGATGCTGCAGCCTGCCATATGCTGTGCTGGACAGCCTTCAATGCGACAAAGCCACCTAAGGCACCAGCCTGTTTCACTTTGTCGCAGACAGGGGGCGCCAGCAGTGAAGCTTGCCTTAGGTGCCCCATGGGCTATGACTGGCACTGGCTGTGTGGCTGGTGTCTCTCATGACCAGTGTTCTTGATCCAGAGTGTTCTGATGTATGCTGTGTACTTTATGGACCACTCACCCATGACCGTCAGAGTGACGCTGTTGCTAAGCACGGCTGTCGGAGGCGGGCCAATTCTCTCTGCCAGGCATTGGTATGGTCCCTGGTCTGAGGGCAGCACACCGAAAATGGTGTACCGACCCCCGGTTGATCTGTGACCTGGGATGGGGGTCATTGTGGTCCGAGTGGCGGGTGGGTACCAGGTGTAGGTCCAGCCAGTGGTGGGGCTCCCCTCCAGCTGGCACCATAAGGAGACCACCTCTCCAACATAGACAGCTGGTCCCGGGGGCTCCACTGTGAGCCTGGTCCTGGGGGTGTCTGGGGTGGGCAGTGAGGTCATGCCTGTCACCACTCTGTCACTCCCCTCCACCCCACCCACACGCATCAAACATTCCCTGTTTCCGCCAAGTGGACAACTGAGAATGTCAAGGTGAACAATCATGACCCTCTTTGTTCATGAACAGATTGCAGATTTCATGTAAGTGGCTGTGCAGTAATAAAAATAAAATTAGAGAGAATAAAAGTACAGTGGTACCTCAGTTCTCGAACTCATTAGAACTCGAATTTCGTAAAAGTCGAACCAACCAGTTCGAAAAAAAATGACACAGAACTCGACGCGGTTTAATTACAGGTAAGGCAAGCAAAACGCAGACGGACAATACAACGACTGGGGAAACAAACTGAAACGCGGACTAAATACAGAGGACTAATGACAACAACCAGAAACAGCTGATAAACACAGGGGTTCCACACGGGGTTAACGAGGGGGCGTGGCACACAGAAGGCGCAGACGATTGGGGCAGGACACATTGTTTGGATACATTTACAGTGGTACCTCAGAACTCGAACTTAATTCGTTCAGAACTCCGGATCGAATCCTAAAAAGTTTGGGTTCTGATCGAATTTTCTCCATAAGAAATAATGGAAAACCAATTAATTGGTTCCTGGCCCCAAAAAATTACACCTAAATACACTGTAATAAAAAATTCAAGCACCCAGTAAATATGACACAAATATATAAGTGTGCATGCTTAATAAAAATGTTTAATGTTGTTATGATGAGTATTTGAGTTGACAACATCAATTTTCATTAGTGGAACTCAATGAGGAATATTTATGTGAAACATACATATTTATATTAAGTTAAATTCTTTAAAATAAATAAAGATTTGCCTAACAGATTAAATGGTTTAAATATGAGTAATAATTTCAGTATTTTCAAACTATTTTACTTTAGAATACATTACAAAAAGCAAGTAATTTCGATAAGTGAAACTTTTATAGAAATTTACTCAATTTTCTTAGAGACATGGTCAAGGAAACGGACCACGTGACGTTATTCTGGGACAGATTTGAAAAAGCATTTTGACCATATTAAAAAGATAACATTTTTTCTTTGTAATTTTGAGGTCGTACTACAGAGCCCCCGAAGTCCCATAGAGTGATTTTTCTTATCTTGTACGCACAAGAAAATAACTTGTGCGCACAAGTTAATATTTGTAAGGAACAAAAAGGGGACATGATCATAAATCGCCCTTGTATTGCTTATCTGTATTTAAATGAAGGCAAAGTTTTAACATTCTTGAATTGTTTCGGTTATTTTAGGAACAGGTAACTACGTTAAAATTAGAGCTTGTGTACAGCTTATGCGGCAGGGTCAGAGTGTGCGTCGGCGTGGGAGCGCTGAATACCTTGGGACAGCCCGTGCTGCAGCAGGACAGCAAGCCCTGGAACATGAAACGGAAATTTTTACAGCACACACACCACCCTCCCCTGTCACTGACAAGCATAAACGGGGGCACACAAATTCTGGGAAGGTTCCCGGGGGGGGGATGGGGCTTCAGTACCCCTATTTTTTGTCTGAAACCCACCCCCCAACCCCCCTAAAAATAGTAATTCTAAGACCATTTAGTAATTTGTATGTAAAGCTGTCTTACTCCCCACTGGGCAAACTTTCAAACTTTATGTTTGTCCCTGCAAATTTCTCTAAGGCCCAGGTTTACAGCCCCCCACCCCCCAGCCTCAACCTGCATTGAATCTGTTAGGCTCATATATCGCTTATCTCTTGGATCATTAAACAGGAAGCCCAATCTCGTGTCTCCTCCTCAAACAGCGCCGTGAGTGAAGTGAGGGCAGATGTCAAGATGGATAACAATCACAAAATTGTTGGTACTAACTTTCCAGCCATGGACAGATCAAAGGAATCCCTACATACATCAAAGGACAAAGAAATAGTGAAATCACCAGCGGAACCTCCCCGAAAATACCACCCCCCTCCGCCAATAAAGCACCCCATATCAACCTATATTCCTGTAAAACAACAGGAATATGTGCTTCTTGGCAGAGCACAGTACATTTTAAACAAAGTCTTTTAATTTCAGTTACGTATATGTCATTGCATACACAACTGAAAGGTTAAAATAAAATATTAGTTATTCAAATTAAAAGAGTGAAAAGAGGGGGGAAAAATGGCGTGGAGTTAGTTCAGGAGAAGAATTACTTTTCAGGATAATTTGTTGTCCTGTCATTTGGTGGTGGTCATGAGGTAACCAAGATTTCCCCAAGATTTCTCTAAAATTCTCCCATTTCCCCGCCACTTTCCACACTAAATTCTAAGACATGCATTATATATTTTAGGAGGCTGATGCAAGGCTGTCTAACCCCTAAACTACACATGATTTAGTATCACAATTATGCTGCTACCCTGCAAAAGCCTTTCTGCCTCTTAGAGTTCATATCTTTGCCTTGTTGCTTTTCATTTGTTTGATGTCCTTATCGTTGGCACTGACCGGTTTTCCATAAATCTAAGTCTGTTGAGTCTATGCAGTGTCTCATCCTTGCCATTGAAGCAGTTATTCTGCTTTTTGCCCTACAGAGCTGTGTAAACAAAGTTCATGTAAAATGGCAGTTACTTTGCATAAACAAATAACATCATAAGGAAAACGGTGCAATAATAGAAAGACTCACCCAAGGTAATGGAGTAAAACATTGCCTGAATTGTTTTGTATGATGAGTAAAGATGTAAAGTTCCTCAGTGGATGTAGTTTTGCAAACCCACTAGCAAATCGCTGGCATTCTAATTACCTTCTATGTCCTTCCTGTTCTTGCCCTTTGGGGTTAGCCCTCAAATTCTGGCACAGACACTCACACATGCACCCTTGGAGTAGCAGTGGAGTTAGTTTATGATGGGGGATCTACTCCTTCCAGAGAGAGCCTACTCTGGAAGGAGTAGAGTTTGACTAGGGTATAGGGGGGCAGGGAGGTTAGTTACGAATTTATGCGGGGAGAGACGGAAAGCCCAAATAAATATTAAAAGT